TGCGAAGGAAGCGGGAGACAACATGCGACGCTTGTCAAATGCGTGGTTTCGACCCTACATTTATAGGCACTTCTGAGTGGTATGGAAATGGAGATCAGAGCTTCATCATTAACCTAAATCAAAGGAAAAGCGCCACAATTGACCCCATCGTGAAAGTATAAGGACGGCTGACTTTCCAACAGTTGTCAACCTTCTTCTTCCTGTGGTGAAGTTGATTGCAAGTAAACACTGTTAAAGCGAAGGGAAAAAGAAGTGTTGCAGCTGGATAATATTTGGCTTTTACCTGTTGCTCAGTCTATTGTCGTACTCGAGAATAAGTGATAATAATGGATTGTGAACTGTATAAGCTTCCTATATTTGCATCTTGTTGTTCTGCTTGTTAGTCTGTAGTGGTACTGAGTGGCTGAGAGACTTTCGAATAGTGAAGGAAAATTGCTATTAGTTTTCTGAGTTAACTTTCGTAAATGTCAGTGCACGTGATTTCCGTGATCTTTGGACGGCTGCCTCGAATTTAAAGTATTGTTATGTTCTTTTGTTTTTATTACCGAACTTATACTGTTTAGCTATCGGTAAAGGATATCTGACTATACAGACCTAGTTGTTATATACTGTTAACTATACCATTCCTTAGCGTTGCTAATCTCGAAGTATCGGATTAACATTTTTAAAGTTTGGTTTAGGCAAAGTAAATCCAACCCAATGCGAAGCGGTGACCATGGTCGCGGCTCAAGTGATGGGCAACCAGGTTGCTGTTAGTGTTGGAGGCTCTAACGGTCACTTCGAATTAAACGTATTCAAGCCGATGATCGTCCGCAACGTATTACAGTCTTGTAGACTGTTGGCCGACGTTATCACTTCGTTCACCGACCGCTGCGTCGTTGGCATATCGGCTAATGAAACCAGGATAAAAAAACTGATGAGGGAGTCGCTGATGCTTGTCACCGCCCTGAATCCTCACATCGGTTACGACAAGGCGGCTCAGATAGCAAAGCTGGCCCACAAGGAAGGCGCGACGCTGAAAGAGACGGCCATCAAACTTGGAATTTTGACCAGTGAACAGTTCGACAAATGGGTCAGACCGGAAAAGATGCTGGGCCCGAAATAGTCAATGAAAAAGGTAATTTCAGATGTCTCCCCTAATGACTGTAGAAAAACTTTCCATGTCAGAGAAAAGTGGCTTTGTTTCCGTCTGATGTTGTCCTTTTGCGGTCCCGGCTGTTTTATTCAATTTCATACAGTATTGCACAAGGTTATTAGTTATAGGTCGACATAAGTGTAAATTTTTCTGTTGTATGAATTGTTGACTGTTTCTTAGTGTTTTCCCCCCAGAAATTCGTTGTCTGATTACTATATGTCGGTGTATGTGATTTTCTTTTGAACTGTACTAATCCAGTGGAAAACTGTTTCTTTTCTATAGGCGTGCCCCTAAGAGCTAATGGATTATTTTCGTGACAAAATCCGGTTGATTGATTAAAATGTTTATATGTTAGGCATCCGTCAGTACTACTTCCGTCACTACTTTCATTTTTTCGCCGAAGGTATGCATATTCTGTCATTAAAATGACGTGTCTCCTTTTTCTGACTTGCATTTACTTGTTTAACATGGCATGTTGTTTAGCGAATGTTTTATTAACTTTTGCAGCCGAGATATACACAAAATACCTAACAGCATATTGAACGTTTTAGAGTAAATACCCTCTCTTCAAGAGGGAATCTTCTGGGGAAAGAGGCGCTGGTTTGGACTGTCATACGTTGCTTTACCTTTAACAGAGAACGACAAGAGGCGGTAAATGTGTTCCTTTTTATTCTATTTTGCTCGTTCTGTATCCGTTTTGTACACACACACACACACACACACACACACACACACACACACACACACACACACACACACAGCATCATTTATATGCACGTCTGATAGGACATCAAGATTTCGCTCTATTTTACCGAACATTTCACGGAATGTCAGTCGGAAGTGATCAGAAGACAGTCCATTCTATTTGTAATCTTTTGTACTTATAAGCAAAGCGAATACTACGAGCATTTGCAGATTATCTGATTATGTATAACGTACACACATTAATAGAACACTGCTCATTTATGTCGTAAGAAAACAAAACGGATGCATAACGAATGGATAATCAACCTAACTTAGGAAACCCTATTGTTCAGTCTAATAATTTTGATTTAGTCCTTTGAAGCATCGTTCAATAATCAGATTAAAAATTTAAGCAAGAGGAGGGAAACTACGGTCGTACTACTTATATATACTCACACTTGAATCCATTTGTTTTCAGATATGTTCTTTGATGCTGCCTTAACATTTTATAAGCGCTTTGCTCATAGAAAACTCTTGTTTACTGAGTAAACAACCAATTAGCGAAATTAATAAGGTAGCCACCGTATTCAGTAGTACTGCTTCAAGCGACTTCAACAAATCACAACAGTTCGAACGTAGTCGCAATTCGCATGAACCCGCATCATGACTAACAGAGGGGGGGCTCGATAGGCAGACAGACAGACAGGCAGGCAGGTAGAGCAATTCTGCTCAACTGGCGACTGCAGCGGCAGAACCGTCGTCGTCGCTCGAGACTGCTTGTTTCATTTGTGATAGGCAGACAGACTCGATAGTCCAGCTGAGATTTCCTTAACGCTCGCTCGCGCTGTCCACGTGTTCTGGGTCGTCGGAACTCTCTGGTGGAATTCGACTCAGATA